AGAAATGCAAACCTCAAAATACCAGTGGGGGTCCATTTGCCTATTTTAATTTTGTTCAAGTCTAGAAGTAAACCAAATGTGTGAAAGAGGAATTCAGCTTCAATTACCGTACATATCCTTATGGCAGATACGGATATTATCTAATACCACCCACCCTTCAAATAATTAAAACTATAAGGCTCTACGTCCATTTTTGAAAATAAAGCTTCTTTGATGAGTTTCTTTCCTAGTAAAATGATTTGAGACCCTCAAATAGCTACTGTATTTACTATATATAATGAGTCCAACTTTTTAAATTACTTACATGATTACAGTGTATCTATGTTTCAAGTTCCGTGAGGAATGTCTTAAAAACACAGATATTTTGTAGCCTTGCACATGTTTATTCAATAATTTGATAAATTATTGAAGTTCTCGCCTCAGATAGCTTTAAGTATTATATAGCCAAATCAGCTAGGCTCAAACAAGATTTCACTTCTCTATTGAATTCATGTACTCTTAGCTCAGTCAAGCACAAAACAGCTAATGCTGTCACGTTTGAAAAGCTTTTATGCTGAATTTGACACAAAAGCAATCACAAAGCAGACAAAAAGGAATTTCTCTTTCAAAAGCTGAAAAGGGAAAAAATAAATAAATGAAAACTCTGAGCCTGGGTAAATCTCTCTTGACACTGGGAAAGTTTAAAATCATCAAGGAATAATTTTCCCAAAGAATCCATTGCCAAGTTTGGACCAATCTTAATAGCCTGGGGAACAGGTTGTGAAGTCAACTAAGATTTCTGCCAAATGAAATAAATCCCATGATGACCATTGCTGGCAGTGTTAGGTGCCAATGGCGCACCATCTTACCTCTTATGAAAGCTAAATGGCATCATCTCTCATAGGATTCTGTCATAGCCTACTGGCAGGGATTCTGATTAGAATGGAAATCCTGCATGATTTTCCCTAATGTCTGCCTTTCTATCTCAAAAGAACATTACTGTTTTATCAGGGCCATGGATAAGATCAAATGAAGCCATGTGGTTAAGCAAACCAACTACTTACTTTGTTTTTGTTTCCAAAAAACTAAGGGTTATATAGGAAAGAAAGGAGACATATATTATGGGAATCTCTGAATGACCTGCTCATTAATTACTGACACACTAGGCTATCTACAGTCTGTTCTTTCGCCAAATCAAGGCTCTCCTGTTGTTATCTCTTTCCACCCCACCCCTGTTTTTAAGATGGACTTTTTCCAGATGCCATCTTAGATTTGATTTCCATTTTGTAAAGAGGTTGTTATTGTTCCCATTTTTTGTCCACCATTATTTCTAAGCAAGAGAGGAGGTTTTCTAAATGTCCAATGAGTAAGGAAATGGTTAAAGATGGAACTTCATGAAATATCGTAAAGAACTAAAAATGGCAATTATTAAAAGTTATATAGCAACACATATAAATGTGTATGCAATAACACTAACTTTAAAACCAGAAATCAAAATTTTATCTACATTATGAAGACAAAGATAAGAAATGGAAGTGATTATAGCCAAATATTAGCAATTATGAATATTAAAATATCAGAATTGGAGGTGATTTTTTTTCCTTTAGCTCAGGTATGGTGACTAATTTCAATTTTCAGGGTGTAACAGTGCTGGTGGTGGCCTTTAAAGCCATTTCATTGTGACATTGAGGGTAGTCATCAGTGTCGCTGCTGCCAGGGAGGCTGGCTGCTATAGTCACAGCTCTCCAACTCTGGAGACACAGCCTGCTGATTGCCTTACGAGGCTCACTGGCTGCCTTGCTAATTTTAAGTACATAGACTCAGAAAGAATTCATGGAGCAAAAAGATCTTTGGTCAAATTAACCAGTGTCTCCTTATGTCTATTTTCATATTTCCTTCCTAAAAGAAAACCATAAGAGATAAGCCAACTACTATCACTCAATAGAGATAACAAATCAGACAAAGTCCAGTCCTCCATTTTATAGGCTCCCTGACTTTTCTTTACATTTTTTAAATTCGGGGAACAGTGTGTTTCTCCAGGACCCATCAGCTCCAAGTCAAGTAGTTGTTTCAATCTAGTTGTGGAGGGCACAGCTCAGTGGCCCATGTGGGGATCGAACCAGCAACCTTGGTATTATGAGCACTGCGCTCTAACCAACTGAACTAACCGGCCACCCCTATAGGCTCCCTGACTTTTATAACAATTAAAAATAGTAGTTTCATTAAAAATGGAATCCAATTTGCAATGATCTTTTTAGTTTTTCATAGTAAAACAGAATATGAAAATTTCTCCCCAGTATACTATTTCATTTTCCACTTTGTAGCTTATGAACAATATAATCTTACTTGCCAATTCATCATTACAATTGTCTCCCTTTCTGATCCTCACAGTGTTTTCTTGATTTGTTTTAACCACAAAGACAACAGGTAGAAGAGAAAATCTATGAGGTCATTTATAAGAGTAATCACTATCTATTCACATCACAACTCTGCTACTAGTAAGAGGAGTTACTGAATTTCTCTAGGTTTCAATTTTCTTAACTGTAAACTAGGAACAATACTAGTACTTTTCATGGAAGGTTTTTGAGAGGATGAAATTAGCCAATATATGGAAAGTGATTAGCACAGTTTTTGACAAATAGCAAGTACTCACTAAATGTTAGTATTAGCGTTAGGATTACTCTTAGTTTTAGCATACGTGATTCAGGAAAAGATAGGGAAATGATAGCTTTGAACATCTTTATGTGCATTATGAACTTACTTTGAAGTTGCAGCAATATATACCATTAAATTCCTAAAATATATAACACAAACAAAAAGTTTCCATAGAGCCATTTTTTATGATGTAGTTTTAGACTATTCCAAAGTAATTTTTTTTTACTTCAAAAGCTTGACAAGGATAGCAATTATAATACAATCTTGTCTTTGTTTTAGGTGTTTAAAGCATCCTGTTTTGACAATAAAATTGTTCTGTTTCCTCCTTTCCTATTTTCTTTTGCAATTCTTTTTGTCTCTGATTTAAAGCCCCTTGATTTTCTAAGAGCTATTAAATCCTCATCATTCTTGCTATCACTTTAGGATTCTCAGAGGTTTTAAGATTATTTCTCATTTGCCAAATTCCAGAGTCTTCTTGACCTCATCAAATCTATCACCATATGCCTCTTCTCTCTCCTTCCCCTCATCTAACTCAAGGGTCCAGTCCAAACTCCTTTTTCCTGTTAATTCCTCTTCACCAGTTAACCACCTTGTTTCATGATTTGTCAGAATCACAGAGTCCTACATTTTTTTGAGAGGAAAAAAAATAGCATGACATACTGAGTACCTTATGGATAAGACCAGAGCCTTCAAGAATAACCATATAGATTCTATGTTTCACATAGTCAGACCAGGAAGTAGGAAAATCATCCTTAGACATCCCTAATTTATTTATGTTCATCCAAGGGAGAAAATCTTAGTGGTAACAGGTATCTCGTAAAAGAATGCATTTTTATTCATCTAGATGTTGCCTTCAACAGAGGGAATGACCCTTTCCCTGATTCCCCAACGCTGTTCCCTCCCCCGATTTCCCAATAAAATCTTAAAAAACAAACAAACAAAAAACAGAGGGAATGAATGATAAGTCTGTAAAATCCTATGTGGCTTTCTAACATTCTTATCATATGAATAAAAATCTTGTCCTTATAGTAGTTCGGGTTGTTAGGCAAAGTAGCTTTGGCAGAGACTGGCTAAGAGCTCACTAGCTCATTATTCCCATTTACTCTTCCTTAAATTAAATGTGGGACAAGTTCTGGTCAGCAGGATGTGAGTGGAAATGATGTATGTAATTTCCAGCCCTGACCATAAAACCCCATGGATTGACCATATTCTCTCCTACTCTCCTGCAATGACCTTGGGAAGCTGTGAGTTTGTAATGATAGTTTAGCAGAATGGGAAAAGCCCGGATCTCTAAGTCACCATTTCGGGAGAGCTCCCAAGAAGGGCTCTTGAACCTTTGTTGAGCTATGACACAACCAAGAAATTAACGTTTACTGTATTAAGCTATTGAGACTTCAGAGTTTGTTTTTCAAATCAACTTAGTGTAAATGCATATGCTATATAGCTTAGCATAGTCTAAATACTGACTAATTTAGAATTGGGAGCCACTTTATCCAGGAAAACTGTATGTTTTTGTTTTTGTTTTTTTTCTCAGATGACATACCTAATCTGAGATTTGGTACTTGTTTAGCAGAAGGCCTTTTTCTGCCAGGAAAAAAAAAATCTATAGAGGGTTTGGATCAAATACTCAATCTGATCAAGTCCCCACCATGTGACTTCTCTGCTTAAAATCCCCTAAAGGCTACCATTTGTTTAGCATTTAAGGTCTTTCCAAACTGACCTATAAATACGAGGTTTGAAAGAATTAAATGCATGAAAAGCGCCATGCATAGTGCTTGATAAAACACCATCAAACAAAATTCATTCCCTTCTCCCTTTCTCTTTCTTTTATCCTGAAGAGTTCTAGACTTTGAAGTAGAGAAATACATGATGTAATTTTGGGGAAAGAGGAGGGAGAAGAGGCGAGAGAGAAAGAAGTTGGGCTGGAGGTCAGAGAATGGGAGGCCAAAGTGAGAGTGTACCTTACTCTCCTTTACTCCTTATACCTACTCTTCCCTTTTCCATTCAGGGCCCTCAAATAAAGTAGGAAAAAAGTAGACCTGTTACTTTCCCTAGGAAGAAATGAAGCCCAACCGATTGACCTTATGTACATAAGTACATCAATCAACTTGGAAGTGGTCTTACAAAATGGTGCAATGTGGAAACCAGCCCATTAAACCAAATTATTAAACTCATTTTAATAGATTCATAGTATATCAATTTTCCTCTAATCCCAACTTCACATCAAAAACTGTACTCTTCATTTCAACTTAAATCGAATGTTCTTTTAATAAATTTACATGAAAAGTCATTCAAGTGTAATCCTTGGTATAATTGCATCCAGTGTAACCAGTATTTAATTTAAAAAACGTATCTTTGACACTGACCTTGGTTTCTGTGATTTTCTTTTGGATGGCGTCCATGGTGTAGGGGCCTTCCTTCCACGACTCAAGCTTGGCTCTGGCCTGTCCCAACACCTGTTCAGCTTCTTCCTTGGCTTCCAGCCACTGTGTTGAATCCTTTAACATGTCATTCAATTGTTGCCTCCGACTCTGAAGGTGCTCCTGTACTTCCTCCCATTGACTCTGAATTCTTTCAACTGGAACAAAAGGAAAAACACATAAATATCTAAGGGTCAATGCTAGCTTTGAGGAGACACTGGAAATTTAACATCCAAATATCTCACATTGTAGATTGCTCATTAAAAAACTGTTCACTGTGTTACAGCTAGGATGATGGACAATTGAATCCCTTACTTCTTTTTCAATGGCAAACATGAGTTGCTGCTAAATTATCTTCCTGAAGGTGACCTAGAACATCGGTCATATATGTAAAAACTGCGCTCTGTCTACTCTCAATCTTTTGAGCCAAACATGAATGAACTTTGAGGAAAGTGCTATAGCAGAATACCCCAAACACCGCACCCTTACCATTTCAGTGCCCAACAGCCTGACTTCCAAAACCATTATTAGCATTTTATTCCTTGAAGACTTTGTGTTGCTACAAAGAGTTTACTTTGCCATCTAAGGAGCAGGCTAGATACACCAAGGAATTGACACTGCCCTTCTTCCTGCCCCACCTCCCAGGAGCAGCCCACAACCAGTGACTGACAGTAGGCCTTGGGGTATGAATATTCTAGCACCCTTGACAGTAGGGGAGATAATGGTGAGGCATGTGTTTTGCAAGAGTTTGAGTTCTCCCAGTGGGATAAAGCTCCAGGGGCCCAGAGGGGTGACCTCCTCGATAACGCACCATCCTTTATTGGCTAGCCTGCCTTATCTGTCTCTCTTCCTCACTTCTCTACTGATAGTTCTCTCAACTCCCAAATCAATCATTTGCTCTCCAAACCTTTTCCTAGGGTCTTCTTGTGGGGAGGCCCAAAAGTCCATATGGAAATTTCTTGTAACAATCTCTAAGATTCTGCTCTGAACTACTACTTGATTTTAGAATGTTAAAAATAAACATGGCCACATTATTATTTTTTTTTAGGTTTTTTTTTTGTTTTGTTTTTTTGGTTTTTTTAAAGATTTTTATTGGGGAATTGGGGGGATGGGAACAGTGCTGGGGAATTGGGGGAAGGGGAGCAGAGAAGTTGCTGTCGTTTTGTTCTTCAATCTAGTTGTGGAGGACGTTGCTTCACTGGCCCAAGTTGGCACCATCATTGCGCTCTTCCCTGGCGAGGCAGATCAGTCGCCGGCTTCTGGACGGCCGCTCACTGCGGCTGCTGGCCGCTCACGCTGGCTGCTGGCTACACACGGTAGCCCATGGCAATCCACTGCCACAGGGACTGCAGCCTACGCCGTCGCCGGCGACTCATGGCAGCCCAGCTCCAGGTTGAGCTGTTGTTCAGCATTTTAGCTGTGGAGGGCAGTGTCACTGGCCCTCATATGTGGGATCCGAACCGGGGCCCTCTGGTATCCCAAGCAAGTTCTTAACCATCGCGCCACTCGGCCGGCCCCACATTATTTTTTTAAGGACCACATCATCTTCTCCTTAAGTTGCTTTCATAAAAGGGAAATAATGTCATAGAAAACAAGTGATAAGTCACCATCTACTTTATCCTTTAAGCAAGAAACCTGACATTCTAGCTTCTTCCGTAAGTCCCACCAAATACCATATGCAATTGATTATTAATTTCTCTAATCTAGAATTGTACTCCTTCCCTTTTCCCCTAGATTGCCATGGCAAAACTCTATTTTTTTTTGCCTACATGTCTGCAATAGACCCTATATAGTCTCCCCCGCCTCAGTTCTGTTTTTCAATGTAATTTCCATACTTTAGACAGAATGTAGAACTAATATAGATCTGACCACTCCACTCTTTCATTTAAACCATTCGGTGTCTCTCTACTGTCCTCCGGAATATCTTAGCTTGATATGCATGTTCCTTTGTGATCTGGCCTGAATGATCTGACAGGTTTATTTACAAAAAAAAAAAAGTTACAACATAATCAGGGTGTAGGAAAATCACCGGCGATAGTGCAAGAACTAGGTCTTGTAGCAGTGGAGCTGTTATAATACTACATCTAGGGCTAAGAAATCAGGGGAGGGAGAAATGGCCAGAAGCTGAGAATCATGAGGGGAAACCACCCTGAGAAGAGCAGTAACCTTTTGTGAAGGGACACAGTCAGCCTATGACAGCTTCATACGGGGGGAACTAGGAGAATAAACATCCTGATCTCACTCTGCCCACTCTCTGCAGTTTCTTATTAGGGCTCCCCAGTGGCTCAACCAAGGGGAAGCCAGAGGGCATGGGGGATCTGTGATGACACAGATTGGCCTCTCAGAATACAGAGCAAGGTACAGAAGGGCAGAGACTGCCTACGGATGGGCAAATAAAATGCATGCAGCACAGTATTATAAAATAGTGCTTATTTCATGACGTATAATAAGTTTAGTCCTTCCTAATTAAACCTGTTGTTGCCTCCCTAAGTTATGAGTTAAAGAAGTAGTTAAGATATTTTGTAAATAAGCATCAGGACTAGATAGATACAACAAGACTAGTGATTGTGACATGAAATCAAGAATCTGGTACCTAGAATAGATACAACCAAGTAAGTGGCACTCATGATTTGTATCAGGTTCGTTTCTGTTGAGGTGTTTGCTAGGTGTTGCAAAACCAGTTAACAGATTATATTCCAACTTCAGTCAACATATTATATTGTGACTTCAGTTAATATGTTAGCCTCTGTTTAAATATCAGTTTCTCCCTATAATGCATGAACACCATTTTTGTTTGTTTGTTTCATTGTTGTTGTTGCTCCCACCAGGTAATGCAGCACCTATTAGAGTTGAGACTTATTGATTATTCTTCTATTTAATCTTTAGTTTACCAAATTAAAAGAGTAAATTATATTAAAAGAAACTGTTTAAAATATAAATAAAATGTCTCTAAGCTTTCTGAAATATTTTTTTCATCAATCATAGAACAATATAGAACTGATATTCTAGGTACAGACCATTTTTTCAACTTATCATAGCAGGCTACTTTATTATGAGTAGTTGGCACCTTTTTCCCCCCTTAGCCCACTGGTATATACTATATGTATTTGAAAACAATAAAATTGACTTTCCTTAAAATGTCTTTGATTCCCATTTGCCTTTGTGCTAAACAGCCCTAATCAGTAACATTATACTATGCTAGCTAAATTTTTAGAATGCCTAGTATTTCTTATATAAACATGGTAAGCCATTTAAATTCATGTCAGTGAATATTTTGTATATCCTATAGTTCATTTCAATAGGGTAAATATAACTCATGTTTCTAAATGTCCATCACTTGATATGAGGAAGAAGTAGTTCTTCCTATTATGTGGGTAGATATTTCTTAATTGTGGAAAAAGGCGGAAACTTTTACAGCTTAGACCACTATTTCAGAACAAAAATACCATTCAAATGCTTGTTCAATTACAGCAATGAAAGTTTTCATTCCAAACGTGGCATATGTATATAATGTAGCAAGGTAAAATGGTTCATTTGGGTATGCATCCCACTAAGGTTATGGTTTCTCATCCTTGACCTTCAACTAACTCTACATGATTATCAGATAATACTTAACTAAATAAATTACCTACTAACAGACTCACTCAACAATCCATCTGCCCCTCTATGCACCCTTACCCATCAATCCATCCATCTAGCCTGCCAATCGCCATTTTATTTACCATCTACTAGATATCAGGCATTATGCTAAACACTGGGGAAACGAAGGAGTCTAAGACACATTCCCAGGCTTTAGGTTGGTGCTGTTAGAGGTATTATTCACTATGTACTCAAAGAAAACAGGACGAGCAGGTCTGGGGAAAAGATAATGAGTTCAATCTTGGACCTATTCAATGGGAGGTTTTGAGGATCTATCACGTAGGACTATCACTGTAATCAGATGGACTGAAGCTGCTATGGCACAGCTGTGTATTCTGGGAGAGAGCAAAATCCAGGATTAGAAGTCACTACAGAGAAGTAAAATCTGAAGCCATCAGTATGAATTCATTCTCATTGGTATGGTGCATCGATTGAGCAGAACAAAGGGTTAAAGATGGAGTCCCAGGAAATACAACACATAAAGAAAGAATATAGCAAAAACAGTCAATAAGATGAAAGAACGGCTAGAGAAGTTGGAAGAATACTAGGAAATGTACCTTTATAGAAACACGGAAAAGAGGGAATTTCAAAAGCACAAGAATGGTCAACATTTTTAAATGACATAGATGTCACAAGAGATAATAACGATCATAACACCTAACATTTATGTGAATACCTACTCTGCTTGAAGACTGTTTTAAGCTCTTTATGTGTATTAACTCACTTAATCATCATGATGATTGTAGGAGGTAGGTATCATTGTTTATGTTGTTGTTGTTGCTGCTCTCCCATTTAACAGGTGGAGAAATAGAGATGATGGTAAATGATTGGATGAAGACCATACAGATAGTGAGTGGTAGAGCCACCACTTGGACCCAAGCAGTCTGACTCCCCAAGCCCATGCCAAAAGTGCCTGTTGGCTTTGACCATGTGAAATTCCCCGAAGACCATACAGAAAATGATCTTAGTGGAGTGGCAAAAATCTCATTGTAGGGAATTGACAAATGAGTCGGCCAATGATGGATGAGAGTTGGAAGATAATTACCCCTGGTGGGCAACAACTATGAGGTGTGTTTTTCACTGTCTCCAGGTTTCTCTCATTAAGGTTGAGTTCTAGTTGCCCACGGCAATAACCTGCTCAATAATTGGTCCAATTATTGGCTTCTTTCCTTTCCCTATTTCACTATCCCACTCCTCTATTGGTACTTCCTGGGATTACCTTACAAGTAAACCACTTTCACGCAAATCATTGTTTCAAGGTCTGCTTCGGGGAGATCCTCGTCTAACTGAGAATTTTATTCATTAAAAAAAAATCCTTGGTGCACAACCCAGGGCTTGGCACTTAGTATACTTTCAAAGACTGTCAAATGAACTGTACATGTAGACCATTTCAATTATTCATGCTTCCTCTTTATAATGATGTGAAAATGCCACTCCCAAAGTTAACCCTTGCCCATGACCTTCAGTCTTTATTCCTCAAACGCAATTATTGTCTCTATTGCATTTCAAGTTTACATGA